TTGGTTTTTGCCAAAAGAAGGTTGACCAAAACTTTGTCATCTCTTTTGACGCGCATGTATGCAGTAGCCGCATATGCTTTTTCCGATGCGTCGCAGAAACCATGTATCTCGATGTCATCTCCTGGTGCGAAGTGTACCCATCGAGGTATTCTAATATTGTCTATTTCATGGTAATGTTTGATAAAATTCTGCCAGCGTTCCAAAGTTATAGAAGACACAGTCTCATCCCAGTCTGTGCCTTCTAGCCAAATACTTTGACGACTATTGGAGCACGCCATCCTAGAGGATCAAATAGCTTGGCGATAGCTGATAGTATCGCCCTTTTTGTAAGTGTATCGCGGTCCTCCAATGGTCTTGCCATGAAATAGAAAATATCCGTATGGGCATTCCATCTTATGCCAAGAGCCTTAACCGTGCTGGTGTCTTCGAATGCCAAAAAGTCTTCACTGAGTAAATCCGTTTTTGGGATGTCCTTTAGAATTTCCGCACAGTTTGAGGTCCATTTCCTTAGCGGAAAACCGGCTGACCGTAGTACTTCAGAGATTTCATCTCTTGCTTTTACGGTAGAGTCGATGCTATGTCCTCCAGCTAGCACGTCATCCACAGACATGCATTTCCGTAGTATGTTAGATGCTATTGGGGAAGAGCTTTCTACATCGTCAGCCAGTTGTAGAAGTGTCCTTATCGCGAGGTAAGGAGCACAATTAATCCCGAAAGTGACAGTCTTTAATTCGTATAGACCTACAGGTTAGTTCGGGTTTGTACGGAAAACTATCCGCTGATATTTGGTATGGTTGCTATCCACCCAAATTTGTCGGTACATCTTCTCGATGTCACTATTAAAAACGTATCTGTATAACCTCCAGCGGAGTATAAGGATCGGAGATCTGCTAGGAGAACTGGACCTGGGAGAAGTACATCGTTCAGACTTGTGCCATTAGCCGTTGGACTTGAGGCATTAAAGACGACTCGAACTTTGGTGGAGGTACTTTCTGCCTTTATGACAGCGTGGTGAGGCAAAAAGTAGTTATCGGAAGAGTCTGCTGAAATACTATCATTTATTCTGGACATGTGTCCTAGTGATTCATATTCAGCTAGTACCCTATTATACTCTTTTTGTAGGATGGTATCCTTTGCAAGCCGTGTCTCATTCCGGAAGAACTGAGAGCATGCTTTTTTAAGAGAAGGGCCTAGGCAGATGTTTGCGGGAAATTCCTGCCGAAATGGTAGCGAGACTACGTATTTTCCGTCTTCTCGTCTACGAGTTGTCTTCCGATAAAGCTCATCACAGTATTTGTCGTCTTCGTTCAAGCTTTTGGTTTTTGATATGTCTTCTAGTTCCCAGAATGCAGTAAGTTGTTTGTCCAAGGCAACTTCACTGTGATACGAAACTATATTGTTGGTTGGATTGGGTGCATCTGTGCAACCGGTTAATATCCAACCGAACACGGTTTCTTGGGCGAGAAGTGTACTGAGTACATTTTTCTTCAGGCCGCATAAAATAATTTGGGGATAAATATCTCCGCCAAGTACGAGGTCTACTTCTTTATTAACGTAGAACCGTTTATCAGCTAGAACAAGACCTGGAAATGCCTGCATAGTCATGGCGCTGAGGATGGTAGATTTCCAGTTAGTTTTGTTAGGACGAGCACAGTTGCGTGCAGGCTGAACAATGGATCAACTGGGGATCGAAGTTCTATGCTGCATGCCTCTTTAACCTGCACAGAGGTTGCATTCGTAATGCCCCAAACTTGGGCATGCATTCTCTTAGCTGGCAGGTTGATTCTGCGTTTAAGTTGTTCTGTTATGAACGAACACTCAGAACCAGAATCAATAAGTGCTCGAGCAGAAAAATCTGTGCCATTGAGACGTATACTTACGCAAGCTGTTCCTAGGAGCACACCTGAATTCGTGTTAGCATAACAAGACTTAACGTTTTTGCTTTTATTGTTATGAGTTCTATTATTAAAGTTGCGCTTTGCTTGAGCCTGTTGGGAGGATGATTCATTGTAATTGACAGGTCCAGCCGGCGTGCGAGCCGGTGTTGCCTTTTGCACATTTGTCTGAATGTGCAGGAGCGAGTGATGTCGCGAGTGGCAAGTGCTGCAATTAAAGGGGCTTGTGCACCTTGTCACGGTATGTGCAGCACTCAAACAATTCAGGCAACTGTTGTTGCTCTTTAAGAAATTAAACCTCTGATCAGGCGTAAGCTTCAAAAATTTGGAACAGCGGCGTAGTTTGTGCTCATTCGTTTGGCACATTGTACAAGTGAACTTGGTCACGCTTGCTTGGAATGCACCAAGTCTTTTGGTATGGGCTTCTGAAGGGTTTTTGGCGTTTTGCGGCTTTGGCGCTTTAACCGCTTTTGTACCCTTTAAGCCTGTCAGGGTTTCCAGGGTTTGAAACCTGTTAGATAGGAACTTGTCCATATCTTCCCACTTCGGTAAGGCGCCTGTGTGGTCTATGGTTTGCTCCCATAGAGCCAAAGTACTGTCAGGCAATTTAGTAGAGCAAAGATACACAATAATTGCGTCCCAATTTGAAATGTCAATTTGATGACTTTGTAGGGATGACAAGCAATTGTTAATATCGCGCTGCAATCTTTTTATAGAGCTACCACACTCACTATCAACGGAATTAAGATTAAACAGAATTTTTAATTGTGTATTAACGAGGATACGCTTATTTTCGTATCGCTCACACAAATTGTTCCACGCTGTGGCGAAACCTTCATTAGTCATAAGGCACTTATTCACAATGTCTTTGGCTTCCCCTCTGGTTTTTTGGTTGAGGTAATATAGCTTCTCAACTGGAGTAAGCTCCTGATTCGAGATGTAAATGGCCGTGAACATATCTTGAAATGTTGGCCAAGACAGATAATCGCCTTTGAAAACATCGGTATCACACGGTGGAAGGTGAATATTGTGTTTTCGCATAGGCTTCTGTTCTACATCCCGTTCTTCTTTTGCTAGTTTCTCAGCCTGAGCAGCCAAAGACGACATGCAATTTACATAACTAGCAAACGCGCCTCTATTTATTTTTCTGTATGTCCTCTTATCTTCTTGTGAAAATTCTTCAGAGGTGTTAAGGGCATCGTAAGCTAGTTTTGTTTTCTCCCACTGAGCTCTGAGTTCTTCTTGCTGAATCGCAAGGACATGCTTATTTTGCTCTGATATTGACGAAGCAAGAAAGTCGGACTCGAATTCTGTCACTTCTTCCGCTAAGCTCATGAATGAATTCATTGTGAGGTTGAAGATGGGTTTACAACCATCAGAAAAAACAGGAGTTCGTTAAAAATTTAAAAATCTTTTCGAAGATTTGATAATGCTAAAGGCAAATATTTAGCAGATTATTCGAACCTGTTGAAATTTTTAAAAAACGAAATTGTTTGCCGCTAGAGTCAAAAAATACCAAAACCGCCAAAGATTGTAAAATGTATCCACAATGAAAATATTCGTAATTTTTCCAATTCTTTATTATTATTATTATTTTTTTTTCAGCAAAGGTTTATGGATATATGTAACTTTGATACGTATATGCAAATAAAACTCGCCACCCAACTGTGCAGATATATACCTGTATATATATATGTATTTCTAGGGACCAGCAGCGTCCTTATAAAACAATAAAATGTGTGCAGATCAAAAAGCAATAGCGCCAAGATGCAACAAAGTGACTTTGTGAAAGTGAATAACGTGAATTAAGGGCTAGTTGTGATAAAAACTCCGGTGAATACTTTGAATTGCAAAGCTAATTAACATGCAGATTGCAGAAGTGAGGTTATGTGTTCACAAACCAATGACAAGTGAATCGTGAAAAGAGGTTAGTGCAAGAAATTGATTACTTCAGTGAAACTAACATAAAAAGTGAATTTAATCTAATGACGATAGCAAGAAAGTCGGAAATCAAAAAAAAACTGATGTTGCAACTAAATTTAAAATGGATATAACACTTTTCACTGTCGTGTGTGTGTGTGTACACTTTAAACCAACACTAGCTGTTGGCACTCGAATGTGGAGAATCACTTGAATATGATAACCCGAAGTTGATGCTTTCACAAAGTCACTGCTATATGGCTATCTGTGCACTCGCGTAGTTTTATATTTGAGCTTTGACGCAAATTAAACGATATTTTTTTTTTTTTTTTTATAAAAATATGTCTATATATATATATATATAATATAACCACGTACCTTGCGACTGGTTGGTTTCAATAATGAGTTGTGGCGGTATATGAGAAGTTGAAGGCTGGAAAAGTGTTGGTTGGTGACGAAAAACTTTTAAATTTGTGGCGCAGACGTGGTGTCCTGGTATAATTCGTTGTTATGGCAGACCCAATTTGGTTATGGCAAACTCGCTTTGAAAAAGACGGTGGACTGTATTTCTCTTATTTCGCTGGTATTCCAATTATCGCACGGTCCCAAAAATGGCGCTGGCAATGTTTGATGGTTAGTTAAGTCGGACGGCTCCGAATGGACCAAATTTTTACACGGGGGCGATTGGGAATTACGCTCCGGTGCAAATATGATAGAAAGAAATAAATAGAACCAAGATATTTTGATGTTAATGGTGAATTCAATCAAGAGTCGATTTATTTCAGTATAGATATATATATATAAATGTGGAATAATACAATATTTGAATACCTTTAGACGGGAGTGGCTTGGTAGTTGATGTGCTCGCGCTGATCTTCTAAACCGAAGTGATTAGAAAATTTTACGGGACCTTAAATCGGACCGCCGGACAATAACTGACGTTAAGGGGAAACTTGACGAGAGTACATTATCCGGCGGGATATTAAAATTAACCGCGCATACTACCTCATGTGCGCATGCATGTATCTGTGTATGCACATAAACATACCCTGCAAGAACAGTGACTATCATTTGACAAATTATTTGAGTGGCAAGACTGATAGATATTTCTGTCACTGGCTACCTTTCTATCAAATTCTAAAGGGCAGTGTGAAAAACCTGATGTAAACATTTGTGTACAAATTCTTCCGTCTTCCTCCAGCTTATGACCTTATTTTATGGTCTTTTTTTAACCAGCGCAAAATTTGCATATGTGTTAGTAAGATAAATGAGAATGTGTTAGTTTCCATCACACAATTCTTGTAGGGTATAATATATATTATATGTTTACACAGACTCTTATGCACGTGCACATGCTGGCATTAGGGGGTGTGTAAATAAGTAATATTTAGGCTGAAGGCCTAAACAGTATCAGTAGTTTTTTATTATTTTTCTTTTTCATTGCGAAAATTGTATACCAACTCTTCGTTGATATATGATCACTTCGTTTGATAAGATTTTGTCATATATGTAATACTTCTATATCTAAGCTAACCTCTCAATGTGTAAGCATTCCGAAATCAAAGCGAGACAGTCTAGTACCGTTTCTGTCAATGTATTGTGTACTTGAGTGCCGTTTTTGTATATGTGTTGTGTACATGTTTATTTATAAACGTATGTGTTCCTTTTCGTTCGTACGTGTTTATTGATATATCTGTACTGTAGTGTTTTCGGACGGTACTAGCTCTTACTGCCAATATAGGAGTATTACATTTATGGATCTTGTAAATTCTTTCTTCATTTAAACTGTTCGGCT